AAAGTGCTAAAAAGAGAATAAAGTAGGTTGTGCGATGGGGAACCCGTGAGTAATGGGTAGAGTATTCCCGCATGTACGCCGCATTGAGAGAGCGGCATGAGTATGAGAGAGAGAAGTGGTGTAGCCCGTGAGAGTGCATGCGGATGAGGGCTATACCCGAGAGTAGCCGAGAGATAGACTATACACTCACATGGCCAAGGGTTTCGAATCCATGCATAATCGAGTCCGATCGGCTAGAATGAGTAGAAGTCACGGAGAGCAGGAGCGAGTCCTGGCCGTGCCTCCGGTAAGATGAGGCCGTGACTTACAAAAGAGAGTTATAGTAAAGAGTTATTAGAAAGAGAAAATAGAGAGTAAATGAGAATTGTAAGGAAAGAATTAGAGATAGAGTTGCGGGGATAGATGAGTAGAGGATTTACTTACTGAGCCTTAGTTGTGGTCACCCCGTTGTTTCCTATGTTTTTGCCGGATCTAGGTGAGGATACAGTCGGATGGGCGTCGGCAAGCGAAGAGAAATGGCTACACTGTCCACCCTGTTTTGATGTTTTTGTACATGATACAACTTTTGTATAAAGAGTGTATATGTTTAATAAAAGAAAAATATGGGCCCAACTCTTATGTTTCCTTACATGTATTTTTACTATGTATATTTTAAAAGAATATGATTAGAATGGAGTTGTTACAAGAAATAAAGCCTAGTTACACCACTTTCATTCTAGACTTCTCACCATTCTAAACTTACAATTAAGGGGGTGTTTGGTGTTGTGACTATTTGTACGCTAGCAAGTGCACTAGTCAACAAGTAATAAAAATGGTAAGTGAAGTATTGTATCCCACAAGGACTAAATTTAAACAAACAAATATAATGACTAATCTCAATTGTTATTTGAGATAACGAAACTGGTGATATGAAATTGTAATTAAAAACAAAAATTGCTAAAAATAAAAACAACTAATTAACTCAAACAAAGATCACTTATTCAATGACAATGTTAAGGGTTCGATTCTATAGGGTTTCATTCAATAAACGCGGAATAAATATAATTTTTTTATTCAATTAACCCAATTCGAAGATCAAGATTGATATAATGCAACTTAGAACCCTAATTAATACATACAAGGTTGAATATAATACCTTCGTTGCTAGCTTCTTCAATTGGATTTGGATTCGGACTTCGCAAAACGATTCAAGTGCAGAATCGAGCAAAACAATATCCGCACAAAAGTAGGACAAGATCACAAACGAATCAACTGCTAGATTAATTCGTTTGCCCTAAGAGAGATCATGAAAATTGAGAGAGAGAAATTTCTCTCTCAAAAGAGTTGGGCAATATATTCCATATTAATATTAATGTTCTATATTAATATTAATATAATTAAAATTTTGCTAAATTAACTTCAATATAAATATTGAATGTTGGCAATGACCCTAACGAATTTAATTGCACTACAAAATTACCAAAACACCCATTACATCCAAAGGACGAAATTACCCTTCATTTCATTTCTCTTCTTAAACTGCTTTTAACGAGTGTGACCTCTAGGCTCTTTATTATATTGGCAGTGACCAGTTCATAATTAAACATCAACTAATTAGTGTTCCATACGCTAATCAAGATTGGCCTCTAGCAAGGCATCATGATTACCAACAAATAAAGATTCAATGAAGTTGCTACCTTTCAACAGTATGGTTACCGTGCAATTAAAATCCTTTCATCATCATTTACTCATCAAGGTTTGAAGTACAAAAGTAGTGTCAACTTCAATCAATTTGCCTTGATACATTTGTATTTGGTTATTGCATTAACGACAAAATAAAATTGAATTTGAGTACCCACTCAATTCTGCTATGGCCACATATTTGCGATTGTAGTTATCAACCTAATAACTCAGCAAGATAATTTCTCCTATACCCAGGAGTGATGAGTCCTTTGTCGATCCACCATAGCTATAGTGTACTTTTCGATGTAACCAACCACTACCGTACTGATAACCCTAACATGGACTACGTTAGGCTAATATCAAATTACACCAATAATTACACACGACACTCTAGTGATATCAAGTCCAAGGATCAGATGCTCTACCATCCATTAGAGGATTTATTCCATAGACACTGGAGTTACTATCTATATGGAATCCTTTGGTGGGTCAGTCCAATGAACTTGTCATTAACAAGCTCCCATGCATTGCACCAGGTTGTCACCAAATAACCTTGACATGAGAGAACTATCACTACCTTTTGATATGGTCATTCAACGCTATGATAGCCTTATCATATAATCTGTATCCTTAATCAAATTAATATTGGGGCTACAGAGTGTTCTAGAATGACCACCATATATATATATACACACACACACACACATATAATTTATGCCTTTATGGATATTCAATATAATATTACAAGAGTGTAATATTATTGGCTCTAGTGCTCTAGTGCACCTATCCTAACAGATTCTACCTAAACAGATGTTGACAACTAGGTCACATAAAAATCAAATTCAGAAACTGTTTTATCTAAAGATAGCTAAATCCCTCAATTTAACCTAATTCTGAAATTCATTAACGGTTAAGTTCTGCTCCCGCTTAAAACCTAAACTAGTCACATAAATCTCATAAGACTCTCCTGAGTATCCTATTCAATTTATGATCTATGCTATTGTAAAGAACTTATTAGACTTCACCTCCCAGTTCATTATCACATCAACAAATCAATTGAATCACAATGAGACCCTAATCAATAGATTACTAATCAAACTTCACTACCCAGTTCATCATTCAATAAGAATCCTAATTAATTAAAGACACATATCCAAAAGCATTCAATAAATAACACAGAATCTTATAGAACAATAAAATTTCTGAATACTTTAATAACATTGAAAATCAAGTCAACATGGTTCGGTAGAATCTACCCCTTAACAATAAAAACTACTCCATTTTCAAAGTAAACACAATCCCAATCAGTTTTGAAATCATCATTACAACAATTTTGAACTGAAAGTAAAAAGAAGACAAAGTAATGGAAAATTCAAATTGGACTCTTGAAAAATTCGTCTCCTGAAGGGTAGATCTCATGAAGAATTCCATGCCAACTTCTCTCGAATGAATGGTGCCTAAAAACCCTCTCCTTTGATCTCCTCTTTCCCTTAATGTGTTTTCAAAAACCCTCGCATCCCCAAAATTTCTAAGGACCTATATTTTTGGTATTAAAGTCATGAGGGTATTATGGTAAAGAGTCACATTTCAATTAAAAACACATGATAACAAATCAGTTTGTCTTCCATGCACTGACGTAACGTTCGGCTCAAATTTTTAACCATTTTCCAAGTTGAACTGGACCAAAACCACATGAAAGTTGTAGCCTTGTCACTCATCTTTCAAAAGCCACTAGAATCAGGTTAATTGGAGTTGTGTGGCTCAAGTTATGCTGATTTTACTCAAAGATGACATTTCACCCTACAAAGAACAAAACTTCCGATTACATGCATTTCACAACCAAAACAAAGGGAAATTAATATAAATCCTAATGAAACTTAGATTTTGCTCATCCTCGAGCAAAAGAAGAAATGCAAAAGAATTTTTAGTCAACACATTCATACTTAAGTCTGTAAGGCTGAAAATATGATAAAATCTAGAGGATGCTCCAGGGATCAATCAAGTCTAAGTCAACATTTAAAGCTAATAAAATCTCTTCCTGAAATATCAATGTGTGTGTGTGATTAGCCAATAAAAAATCTCATGCATGTCTCCCAGATTAATCTATGCACTCTAAAGAGCAAAACAACGATCTCTAGAAAAGAATAGAGCTTCATATGCTTGATTTTCAAACCATCTCTCCACTAATGTAGACAAACACAAAAACTCAAATTAGATGTAACATAAGGCTAAGGTATTGGCTATCCAGGAAAGGAAAAGAATTTATCAAAAACAAAAGAATCAAATATTTTTCACAATAAGATTTTTCATTCTCTTTTCTTCTTTTTTTGTTTTTTTCACAATTCTTTCTCTTCTTTTTCTTTTCACCTACCACCTTTGAATTTTCTTTTTCTTTCAAATCCCAAATACAACAATTTTCCTTTTTTTTTTTTATTTTTTTTATTTATTTTTTTTTTTTTTATAGAACAATTTAACAATAGACATGAAAAAGATTCTCTTGGAAGGTATTTACTTGTTTTATGGGTTGTATGGGTTATGTCAAGTGGCTAACAAAGAAAATTCTCATTCGACCTTAATGTCAAATTTTCAGTTATTCATAGGCTCAACGGGGTGTCTAGGGAAAAGATTATTTTGGGTAGGCTTGAAAGGCTCAATCGATCCAAGAAATGCCTAAATCATTTCTAAGCGTTTGTTCTGTCTGGGATTTTGCCTCAAGAGATTAACAAACAGGTTCTAGAGCTCCTAGATGTGAAACCTTATCATGCCAAATAATGCACATAAACTTTCTCTAAGTCACAAAGCAATTGACTAAGTCATGGCTACGTGCTCAAAATGGTATTGAGATTCAAGAAAAAGAAAGAATTAACAGAAGATTAAATCATTTAACTAAATCATCAACCTTCCCTTCCTCCAAACCCATCTTATTTCAATTATAACAGAAGATTGCATGAATGCATGAAACTAACATATTTGAGCTCAAGAATTTCAAATTTTTCAGAGAGCATTTTTTTTTTTTTTTTAATATAGAAACCATAAGAAATCCACCCCCAAACTTAGAATGAACAGTGTCCTCAATTTTCTAAAGGAAAAGAGCAAAATACAGGGTACAAAGACACTCCCCTGATTTCTAGAAGATGTGACCAAGTTTCCCAAAATGTCACCCCTAAACTTGGATTCGAACTTGGAAAGAGAAAGGAAAAAAAAAAAAATAACAAACGAAAGAAAAATAGAATAAAATGAAAAATACATAAAAAAATTCAAAAATAAAATAAAGTAAACCACTTGGGTTGCCTCCCAAGAAGCGTTTTAAGCTATAGTCTTTAGCTAGACTCTTCAGATTATGGATCTCGTAATTTGATGGTGGTAGTATGTCTATCAATACCACTCTCTAAATATGTCTTCAACTTCTGCCCATTCACTTTAAATGTCTCCTGAGAATTTTGTTTGCAAATTTCCATAGCATCAAATAAAGACACACTCATAACCCCGAAGGGTCCTGTCCAACGAGATTTCAGTTTTCCCAGGAATAAGCAAACTTGACTATTATAGAGCATAACTTGTTGACCAAGAACAAACTTGAACCTTAGAATGTGCTTATCATGCCATTTCTCTATTTTCTCCTTATAGATTTTTGCATTCTCATATGTTGCATGACAAAATTCTTCTAACTCATTCACCTGCAATAATCTTTTCTCACCTGTAACTTGCATATCGAAATTCAAGAATTTAGTAACCCAATATGCTTCATGCTCCAGTTCCATAGGTAGATGACATGCTTTTTCCAAAAAAAAAAATAAAAAAAAATAAAAAAAAATAAAGCTTATAAGGTGACATTACTATTGGAGTCTTAAAAGCTATCCTATACACCTATAAAGCGTCATCTAATTTAAGTGACCAATATTTCCTAGAGGCATGAACAATCTTCTCTAAAATTCTCTTTAATTCCCTATTCGAAACGTCTACTTGACCACTTGTCTATAGGTGATAATGGGTGCTTACCTTATGGGTGATTCCATACTTTCCTAACAAGGATTCAAATTGACGATTACAAAAATGCGTTCCTCCATCACTAATTATTTCTCTAGGAGTTCCAAAACGAGTGAAGATATTTTTCCTCAAAAATTTTACCATTATCCTAGCATCATTTGTGGGTGTTGCAGTTGCTTCTACGCATTTAGAGACTTAATCTATGACAACTAGGATGTACTTATTAGAACAAGAAGAAGGAAATTGTCCCATAAAATATATTCCCCAAACATCAAATAATTCACAAATAATAATATTAGTCAAGGGAATTTCATTTATTATCAAGGTATTACCACTTCTTTGACACCTATCACAAGCAGCAACATATGCGTGTGCATCTCTAAAAAGTGTTGGCCAATAAAAACTTGATTGCAATACTGTAGTTGTCCTTCGATTTACACCAAAATGTCCTCTTGCCTCTCTATCATGATAATGGTGCAAGATGTTATTGAATTCCTCATTTGGCATGCATCTTCGAATCACTTGATCTACACAAATTTTGTATAGATGTGGATGTTCCCATAAGTAGTGCTTGACATCCGAGAAAAATTTCTTTTTTTTGATGGTATGTGAAATCATTGGGGATTTCCTACAAGAAAATTTGCAAAGTCAACAAACCAATGAGGTTCTACAGAGGAAGAAATAAAAAAAAATTTCTCATCCAGGAATTCTTCATTGATGTCCATGTCCTCATCCATCAATCGTTCAAGTCATGAGAGATGGTCAGCCACCAAATTTTCTATTTCCTTTTTGTCTTTTATCTCTAAATCAAATTCCTGAAGGAGAAGAATCCACCACAACAATCTAGACTTAGTCTCTTCCTTTGCTAGCAAATATTTTAGAGCTGTGTGATCAGTAAAAACAACCACCTTAGTACTAATGAGATAAGAATGAAATTTATCAAAAGCAAAAACTACAATTAAAAGTTCTTACTCTGTTGTGGCATAATTCAATTGAGCTCCTAAAAATGTGCGGCTAGCATAGTAAATTATGTGAAAAACTTTGTCCTTCTGATTGGCCAAGCATAACCCCAACAGCAGTATCACTTGCATCGCACATCATCTCAAAAGGAATACTTCAATTTGGTGCTACGACAATAGGTGCAATATGAGCTTTTCCTTTAAAGTATTAAATGTCTATAGACAGTCATCAGAAAAGTCAAATTTCAAATCTTTTACAAAGACATTAGAAACAGGTTTTGTGATGTTAGAGAAAGCCTTTATAAATCTCATGTAAAATCAGGCGTGGCCAAGAAAACTTGATGAGTGTTTGGAAGTGCATTCATACTTAGTGATTTTAGGGGTATTTTTTTGTGGGAATTAGGTTTAGTTGGTTAATTTTACATAATTTCTGTATTTCTTGTGTTTTCTAGAATCATAGGTATGTTGTGAAAATTTCCAGGTATTTAGGTGCTAAAAAATTATAATTTCGAGCATACACATTGAAGAGTAAATAATCATAATCATGTAGGAACAAATGGTTCGAGCATCCGAGCCCAAATAAATAAGTTGTGAATTTTAGAAAATTATTTTCAGAATGAGCATAAAGGCAGAAGGATGCAAAATGGCAAGAAGTGGGTAGAAATGTCATGGCAGAACTATTCATATGCCGCAATGCGGTTCATGAATTTTATACTCGGGAGTTTTTCTACCAGAACATGCTGCACGAAAATGGGCATAACTTAAGCTACACAACTCCGATTGACCTGATTCTGGTGGCATTTTAAAGCTAAGACACATAGCTACAATTTTTAATTATGATCCAATTTGACCTGGAAGATGGTTAAAAATTTATCCGAAAGATACATCAGTGCATGGAAGACATGCAGATGTGTTATTATGTGTTTTTAATTAAAGTGTGACTTGTTACCATAATACCTTCATGACCTTACTACTATATAAATAGAGGTCCTTAGGAATATTTTAGAAGAGCTAGGGTTTATAACATCAATCATCATTAGGAAGAGGCAAGGATAGGAGATCTTATTTCATCTTCTTGTTCTTGTACTTGTACTTCATGGTTTTCAAGATTTTGAGATTTGATTTCCTTATGATCATGTGTAACTAAATACTTTTCTAGGGATCCAATATAGCTTAATATGAAGGTTTTATGTCATTATTAATTCTATTTGTTTTATCAATCCATTGCAATTCTAATTTCATTCATTGTGCTTAATTCAGTCTTTAGTTGATATTATTGCTTGGTCACATTTAATGTTAATTACTTGATTACATGAGACAAGGTTAGATTACATGAGACAAGGATAGATCATGTGAATGAATGATTTGTATTTATGCAAACGCCCTGACAGATGCGAATGGGTTCATAATTTCTAGTGCTCTTGATCTTAATGGGTTTTTAATTATTAGACTAAACTATACACCCTAACTAGTTTAGTGTTAAATATACTAGGTTAATCCCGAATGCCCTATGGTAATTCTTTAATTATGTGAGTGTGAACCCTAGAAATTAGATTGAGAGAACAATAGACTGATCATTGACATAAAACTGGATTATTACAGTGAAATCGGATACCTATATTTTAGTCCATTGGTTCTTAAATTAGTTTTTATTGGTGTTATTTAGGTTCAGTTAGTAGTATTTAATTTCTATTTTCTTTTTACATTTAGTTTTAATCACTATTTCTTTAATTTGCTTGATTTTATTTGTTTAATTAAGGCATATTATATTAGGATTGATTGAGTGCTTACAAATCTCTGTGGGATCAACCCTTACATTTGCATTTATATTGCGATAGCAATTTGTGCACTTGCAAGGAATTAAAATTGTTCATCAAAACTCCTAAAAACTTTGACTGAGGTTGGTGGCGATAAATTTGCAATTAAATCCACCTTTGCTTTGTCGACTTCAATCCCTCTTGAGGAAGTTTTATAACCAAGAACTATTCCTTCTTGAACTATAAAGTGACATTTCTCCCAATTAAGCACAAGGTTCATCTCTTCGCATCTCTGCAACACTAAAGACAAATGATAAAGACAATCTTCAAAGGCTACACCAAACAAAGTAAAGTCATCCATAAAATTTTTTCAATCATATCTGAAAAAATGGTGATCATGCAGCACTGAAATGTGGCTGGCGCATTAATGGAAGCTGCTAACTTCTTATAGTCTTATGTATCATTTTCATTATTTTTTTATATAATTCTCCAACATAGTCAAGACAGGCATTAATCTTTCTTTCTTCGTCCAACTATTGAAACTTCCAGTCATATTGTTGGTTGTGTAATCTCTTCTAGGATCCATCAAGTAATTTTTAATATCTAGGGCTTTTGTTGTATAGATATACATAACGGGGTAAAAATATAGTAAACCTAACATATTTTGTTAAAAACAATGGAGAGAGGAAGTCTAAGAGATTTTTGAAATCTGAGGTGAGATGAGAGATGTTATTTTAAACTTATGGGGTGTCATGCAAAATATACAAGGGGTGAAAGTAATAATCTTATATTTAATAAATAGAAAAAAAAAAAAAAAAACATAATGTTGAAGTTAACAAATAATTTATTAAACAGGAAACCAAACAAATATTACCCCTACACAGGATTGAACTCCACTTTACAAGATTAGCGTTTTACCATTGAGCTATGAGGGGTCACTTTTAATTTTTTTTTTTTTAAGTTTTTTTTTTTTTTCTTTTTTTGTTTTTTTTTTTTTTTTGTTTTTTTTTAAATTGACGTGTCTGAACCAGCTTATGCGTACATTGGCTAATCCTCAGGGGAATTATCCCACAACAACCTACCACTACGGTCTTCTAGGTAAATCATGAGCAAATATATTATCTTTACATCTAACAGGGAATTGAACTTGGGATCGTGGGTTCTACCCATTTGCAACCCCCTTGTTTCATCCTTAATTCATATATATATATATATATTTCTATTTAATATTTGTTCTTATGACAAGAAGGGTTTCTTTTTTTTTCATCTTTCCCCATAGGATATTAATAAATCAAATCAACAAAAATATATAGGATACTAGAAGGAGGGCTTGAATCTCCAAACTTGTGGTTAACAGCCACATGCTCTAACGAATTGAGCTATTCCAGCTGTTGAGCGCAGTCTTTACAGATTCATTTTATATAACTATCCTAATACTGATCAACACATAGTTATTATTATTCAACCCATTAAAGATAATGAAATATAAAACACACTCACAATTTTTGATAATATTATATACCCCTAAGGGGGTGTTTGGTTGGGGGTTATATGGGATTACTGAGGTTATGTTATCTTATATTACTTGATTATCATGTTTGGTTGTCAAGTAATATAAGATTTCGATAATCTTCCAATATCAATAGTAGTTACTGTTGATAATATTGGAGGTAATCTAATAACCTCCGTTTTCTTAGGTATTGTAAGAGATCTTATTTTTGTTACAATTTTCTCCCTTATTAATAAAATTTTAAGACAATAATACCCTTGTTTTTAAATTAATTTATATGAATCTAGCTTTTACTATTTCACCTCAATTAATTAACTTTTTGGACAAAGTAAATTCAAAACAAATTGTAGCCCACCCGAGCCACCACCCCCACCCACCAGCTGCCAGCCAAACCACCGCCAGCCACTGCCGAAAGTTGCCAAAAGAAGCTAGAAATCACCGTGACTAGCCCACCGTCACCAGGAGGCTTCGATATGGTCATTTTTTATGGCCGAAAATAGCCATATCGGAGTAGATCTGGCCATTTTTCAACTAGATCTACATCGATA